ATTACATTAAACTTAGGAAAACACAACAACCATTTGAAATCATCCGATGCACCACTCTCATTATAAATACTTTCATTAAACAAATCTATGAAAAAATTGTTATGCTCCGCCAACAACCATTTTTCATTCATCCAAGGGTATTTTTCCTATATAAGAGCTTTGCACGCGGTCAAGTAAGGATCAACTTCACTAAGGTTACTCAATATATACAAATGTGCTTGAAAAACTACTTCTCGACTTAATATCTTAATATTTAAACCTTGAATACCTCTACCATCATAAAATCCATCATGACGAGACTCATGAACTCTTATAAAGTTTTCATCTGACAAATAGTTTGTACAAAACTCAATAGCTTCTTCTGTGATGTACCTTTCTATGATCGAAGCTTCTGGATGGTCATGATTCTTTATATACCCTTTGAAAATCTTCATGTAACGCTCTATTGGATACATCCACCGTAAATAAACTAGACCACAAATTCAAATCTCCTTTACTAGATGAACAACTAAGTGAACCATAATGTCAAAGAATGATGGAGGGAAAAACATCTCTAACTGGAACAAGATGACTGCAACTTTCTGTTCTAATTCATCTAAATTTATATGATCTATAACTTTACTACATATAACACTGAAGAATAAGCACAATCTGGTTATAGTCACCATTACATTTCTTGGTAAGATGCCACAGATAGCCACTAGTAGAAGTTGTTGCATCAAGACATGACAATCATGAGATTTTAAGTCAATTAATTTGTGATCGTTCTCTGGAACAAGTTTCTTCATATTTTATGAGTACCATTGGGGAACTTTGATACCCTGCAAACAATCACAAAAACTATTTTTTTTCTTTTTTAGGCAGAGTGCGACATGCTGGGGACAAATATGTTCTATTTCCTACTTCTTTTGGGGCTAATTCTTACCGTATACCCATCACAACCATATCTTTGCAATATTTCTTAGTATATTTTGTCTTGCCTTTAATTCTGAGAAGTGTTCTAATCAAACTATCACATACATTTTTCTCCACGTGCATCACATCAAGACAATATCTTACATTAAGACTGGACCAATATGGAAGATCAAAAAACACAACCTCTTTTTCCGAGAACTTTTCTCCATGGGCTTTTTCGTTTCTTTCCAAAGATAACTTTAATGTGTTGTTGTTTTCTATAAACTTTCTTCCCGGTTAAGGGTTTTGGAGTGATACGAAACTCCTGCTCTTCATTGAAAGCCTTGTGTAATCTACGATACAGATGATTAGCTCTTTGAAATCTTTGATGCCCCAGATAAACTATCTTTTTCCTTTTGGTAATTAGCGGTGACACGTATTACCTTCACATATAGGACACACTTTATGACCCTTGACACTGTACCCAGAAAATTACCGTATGTAGGAAAGTCATTGATTATGAAAAACAACATGGAATGCAACTTAAAGTTATCACTTGTATACGCATCATCAACATCAACACCTTCCTCCCATAAAAGTCTTAAATCTTTAATCAATGGCGATAAATAAACATCTATGTCATTCCTTGGTTTTTTCAGACCCGAAATCATCACCGATAGCATCATATACTTGCGCTTAATGCACAACTATAGAGCTAGGTTGTAAATTAAGAGAAGAATAGACCATGATGTATGGTTAGTACTCATATTACCAAAATGGTTCATTCCATCGGTGGCAAGTCCAAGTCTAAGGTTCCCCGATTCAATGGCAAAATCTGGAAACAATGAATCAATTTTCTTCCATTACAATGAATCAGCTACATGGTGAATTTTTCCATCACACACCCTTTCATCATCATGACATCTAGTATTATTTGCATCACTAACATTATCAAAAAATATCTTGAATTTTGGAATTATTAGTAGGTACCACATCACCTTGAAAGAAACACCCTTGCTAGTTGCACCACCGTCGTCATCAACACTATTGTCCTTTTGTTTGTAGTGCGACACCTCACACCTCAGGCACTCCTTCAAGTTTTCAAACTCTTTCCTATATAAGATGCAATCATTACGACAAGCATGTATTTTGACATAATCCAAACCCATTGGCCATAATATCTTCTTGGCCTCATATGTACGATTTGGAAACATGTTACCTTCAGGAAGCATTTCTTTCAACAATTCAAGCAATTCAGTAAAAGTTTTATCCGTCCACCCACCTCCCGCCTTAAGATTAAATAGTCTTAACACATATGACAATCTTGTAAAACCTTTACATCCCAGGTACAATGAATCTTCCATGTCTTTTTGCAAAGTATCTACCATGCTAACTTTATTGAAAGCATCTACTCCAATATCACGAATAATGTCTTCTAGATTATCAGTCATACATTCATCATCTTGAATTATTTGTGACAAAGATCTTTTTTTGTCCCTTCACCATGCCATACACATTTCGTGTAAGTTTGAATAATTCCATCACAACCACAATGGTCGAGTATAACATCCCTTTAATGTTTATTCGTATTATAGCATTTTATACAAGGACACAAAAAAATTCCATTATTGTCAGGAAGGTTTTTTACGCAAAATCAAGAAATTGTTTCAATCCATACTTATACTCACAACTTAATCTATTGCCTTTCATTCAACTGTGATCTATAATCATATAAAGCTTCTGAAAATAAAATAAAAAATAGTACAAAAATAAAGCTTCTCAACAACAACAATAACAATAACAAAACAATGTGCGTGGAACAACAGTAATGGAGAACAACAAGAACATACATATGAGCTCCTTGGAGAAAAAGTGTTCTCTCGTTGACTAAGCTCCTTGGAGATGAAGTCTTCTTTCATTGGCTAAGCTCCTTGGAGAAGAAGTGTTCTTTCGTTGGCTGAAGAAGTAGTGTTCTTTCGTTAGGGCTCGAAAAATGAATTAGGGAAATCAAACATATATAAAACTTTATCTCAGCTAAACTAAAAAATCGAGGTAAAATAGTCGACGTAAAATATATTAAAAAAAGAGGCGCCTTTTTGTTTGCAAAAATTATCAAAAGTTAGGGAGTTTTTATCTCAACTTTGGAAATAACTGAGGTAACATATCCGACGTAAAATCTTTAAAATATAATGGTGCCTTTTTGGTCCCATATAAAGCACTAAATAACAGTAGCTGGGAATCGAATCTCAAACCTTGAGCATTTAATTATCTCGGTTTTATTAAAAGCCAAGGTAATAAGATTTATTTATTTTTAAGTAAAACAAAGCACTCCTTTCACATGTACCCATAATTTTGTTTCATTCGTTGTGAAAGCTTCGTCATGAAAAGCGTTATTTATTGTAGTGCAATATGATGACATGCTATGTCAGGGTCTATTTTTGGTATATTGGATGGTGCCTATGTGAATAGTTTTATATTCTTCTGAAGAAACTCAATAATGTTGCTATTTTCTTCTCCAATTAATGATGACCATGTCTGAATGTTTTGGTGATTATGAAGACCTATTTGTATTTTTTGCAACTCTTCCACGAGTGTCACTCCATCTCTTAAGGAGCTGCCTTTGGTGTCTAAATCAAGATAATTAACCTTGTGGCGTTGTGTGATGAGGTCATTTCCTTTTTTTTAAAGCCTTAAGCTATTCCGATAATATTTTCTTGCAACTTTCTGATGGCCTCTAACCATGCCAACTCGCCCATTATCTAGAAGATATTTCATAGTCAGATATAGGGCATATATAACAACTCCTAAGACACTGAGCACATATTTTTCGAGGATGATATTATACAAAAAAAAGGAATTTATCAATTAAAATTTTACTTCTACGACCTTTGCGTTCTTTCTCACTCTGAATATAGTCAATATTAAAACATGTACTTGTTCTTTTAAAAAACCTAATAGCGCCTTCAAAAAGTTGTAAGAACTCGGGATCCATCTTTGAACTTTCAAATACATTTCAAAAAAAAACATAGACTAAATTATAGAGATCCACCAAAACTCTCTTGACATTAATGCATTTGAATTTATATAGATTTATTATTTTAATTTTTAAATAACATCTCAAAACATTAACTAACATTTAATAAAAATGGATCCTAAAAATTGATTTATCAAATACTATAATAGGTGAGGACCTACCATGAAAAGCTTACAACCAAACTCATATAGCAAATTAAGAAAAGGAGAAAGTGATAAATATACTTTAAATTCTTAATGAATAATTAATACTTATAACAAGAAGTATAATAAAAAGAATCCAATGGAAAAAGAATTCACATGTAGAGAAGCATGTGATTGGGCACAGTCGACTATACCTTTTGTTTGATAAGATAAGGAAATTCAATAAACAAAAGGTGTGATGTTCCTTCCTTCTTTAACCTCATCTCACGGATCTTGCCTCTATTCTTTTTTTATTAAGAAAAATTATTATTTTTCTCTCTAGGTCCCTCTTTCCATATCCTATATTCTCTTCAATTTTTATTTTAATAAAAAAAATTAATAATCGATAATAATTCAATTCATGACTTCTAATTAAATTGAAAAAATCATTATCATCTAGTGAATTGATATATTAATTATTTAATAAATTTATAAAAAATATTATTATAATAAATATAAAAAAATTATTAATTTTTTAATGATTCTTTTTATATTTAAATAAACAGAAATTAAGTTTAGCTATCTCAACTAGGATATGACTTTAAAGTCTTTCTTTATATAATTAATATTATTAAAATATATATTTTATACCAAAGGCATTAAAGAATATTAATTTAAGTCTTTCTTTGTATAATGAATATTATTAAAAAATATATTTTTATCAAAGGTATTAAAGAATATTAATTTCTAGATATGTGTAAAAAAATTAATTAAATATTTTTTTCTTAAAAGTAAGTTTGAATGAAATTTATTATTATTATTATTATTATTATTATTATTGAAGAAAAAAATTATTATAAATCTCGTACATAGACATCATCTACATAGTATATATAAGACCTATAGAATAATACACCACTATTACAAATCAAATTCAAAGACTTTATAACATGGCTTCATGGAAGAAAACTATTGCAACCCCATTCAAGAAAGCTTGCACTTTCTTCAACCAACAACCACCAAGGGAACATAAGAAATCTCAAATAGGTATCAACATATAAAAATTCATCTCTATTATATATTCTCAATCTAATTATTGATTAGTTTCATTTTCACGTTCATGTGTATATTAATTAATTAATTGAATTTTTTTTATATGATTCAAGCAGAACAAGAGAATCGTGTAATGGATCTTCATGGTGAAGTCATGGCTTGTGGTTATGAAGATGTTCATGTTATGTGGTCGATACTTGACAAATCAAAATCGTCATCTTGTAATATAACTTCTTCATAGCATCATCCTCTTTTCATCTATAAAAGAAAAAGTATATAAATATATTCAGAAAGAAAAAATAATAATAATCAAAGTGTTATTATTAGGAATCCACATGATGTGATTGATATGTGCAAATCATGGTGAGATTTTTTTTTGTTGTTGTGAATTTGTAGATTATTTTTCTTTATCTATACTTTGATTTTACCTTTCTCTGCTTCTTATTATTATGTGCAACAGTACTGAATTATTGTTAAAATAAAAATTATTGATTGTTGCATAATTACATGAGATTTGCGTTTATTTTCAATGTTTTTAGAGGATTTTATTTTTCTAACTTGAAACGGTAACAGTTCAAAACCGATGGTAAATACTACATTACAAATTCGATGGAGCACATCGTTACAAATAGACACTATTAAGTATTAACAGCTAATTGTGTAAAAAAAAGTATTAACAGCTAATTAAAAACAAACACTTAATGTAGACCACTAATCAAAATTTTAGTTGTACACCGATGAGGTTTTGACTTTTGTTTACACCTAAAAGTAATTTAAGTTAATGACCAAAAATATTAAACATCGAGTTACCAGGTTCAGATAGTTGACTGAATTTTAATTGAATTATTGACGTCTTAATACAAGTGAGATAAATCTTTGTCAAATTCAAAAAATTTCATAAAGGTTGTGCGAATGTTAGAAATAGTCAAAGAAACATCTAATATGACAATTAAACTAAAAAATATTTATTTATATTTTTAGATCCACGAAATAAAACACATATTTTTTTCTAAATATAAACAAAAGTGAAAATGCATATACGGATTAGGGAAACACATAAAAGAAGTCAAGTTAAATATCGTGAGAATTTATATCGAATTCTAATATCTCAATAGGGATAGATTTTTTGTTTTGACAGAGATTGAACATGATGTCGAAATTTGTTCACATGTTGATGTCGAAGTTGTTAGTGTACAAGGTGATGAAGAACATAAAGAATGAGAGAATATATTGATTGCTCTGCAATGACGGCAACAAAAACTAAAGAAAGATTATTTTATTAAAATGAGAACAACTACTAGTCTATTTATACACACAAACTAGGGCCACATAGGAAAATACTAAAATACTAAATTATCCTTCAATATCATCCCTTAATTTAAAATTTCCTAATTAAAACTAACAACACAAATTTCATCCCTTAAGTGGAGAACTTGATCTGTCTTGACCGTCTTTGTCAGAACATCTGCCAACTACTTTTAGGTGCTACAGTGTACAACTTCTAGTACTCCATCCTGGACTTGATTTCTCAGAAATGATACTTTGTCTCAATAAGCTTGCTTCTCCCATACAACATTGGGTTCTTGGTAAGATTGATTGCAGACTTATTATCAATCATCAGTTTCAGCGGCTTGCCTACCTTGATCTCCAGATCCTGCAGTAGATTCAGAAGCCAAACAGGTTGACATGCAGCTATAACACATGCAATATACTCAGCTTCACACGTTGACAGTGCAACAACAAATTACTTATTGGAACACCAAGGAATAGGACCTCCCGAAAACTTAAACAAGTATCCAGAGTTACTTCTACTGTTAACTCTATCTCCACACCTATCAGAGTCTTGGTAACTCATCATCTTTGAGTTAGTCTTTCTTCTAGAAGGGAATATTACTCCATACTTCAGAGTTCCCTTGATATACCTCTGAATCCTGACAACAGCTTGGTAATGGGACCATTTAGGTTTAATCATGAACCTAATAACCATTCCAACAACATAGCAAATATCAGGTCTGGTATTACACAGATACCTCAGAGAACCAACCAACTATTTGAAAGTTATAGCATCCTCATCCGCACCCTTAGAATCAGAATCTAATTTATGATTGGTTTCTGAAAATGTGACAGCAGCCTTACATTCTGCAGCTTAAATCTCTTCAGAAGCTCAAGTTCATAATTCAGCTAATACAAAATTATACTCTTCTCAGAGTATAATACCTCCATCCCTAGAAAGTATATCAGCTTTCATAGGTCAGTCATCTCAAACTCATTCATCAGAACCTTCTTGAACATGACTACCTCTTTAAAATAGCTATATGTCAGCAATATGACATCAACATAGAGATACAACAGAATCATATTGCCTCCAGAATGCTGCACATAAATGCCATATTCCATCTCACATTTCTGAAACCACTGCTTCTTAAAAAATGAATCAATCTTTAAGTTCCAAACTCTGAGAACTTGCTTCAATCGATACAAGGCTTTGTGCAACTTGTACACCATCCCTTCCTAATTCTTTTTCACAAATTCGGGAGGTTGTGACACGTATACCTCTTCTTGTAATGGACCGTTCAAAAATGCAGACTTCATATCCAGATGCATTATAGGCCAATCCATATTCGCAACTATAGCCATCACCAATTTGATTGTTTCATATGTCTAGCTACAGACGCAAACACCTCAAAGTAATCTAACCTAGGTTTATTAAGAAAACCTCTAGCCACTAGCCTTGCTATATGCTTGCCAATTGATCCATCTGGCTTACATTTTACCTTGAAAATCCATATGACGCTGATGGCTTTCTTCTCATTTAGAAGCTTAGTCAACTCCCAAGTCTTATTTATTTCTATTCCCTCAAGTTTTTCTTTCATGGTATTCAACCATACTTTCTTCTTGAGAGCTTCTTTAATACCCATTGGTTTAGAGTCTACTAACATGGCACACTGAATGACTTCTCCCTCAGAGTCTACTTAGGTATCCTACAACATGTCAAACTCTGTAAATCTTCTTGGTATTTGTTTGATTCTTTGTAGCCTCTAAACTTGTTCTAAATCTTCTATAAAACCTGGAACAACGTTAGCTTATGGACCTTGTCCAGAGCTACTACCTTCATAAGTACCACCTTCAGAAGCATGATCACTTCCATAATCTTATCCTCTAAAAGCTACATATTATGAGTTTTCCCTTCTAGAAACATGATATCCACCAGATTCTGGATCATCATCAAAATATGGATCAGAATCACCTTCGGATTCTGACTCATCTTCAGAATCTCTAACATCATCTTCTAACTCTAACTCTTCTTTATAACTTTCAAGTTCTAACTCATCTTCAGGTTCTTCTGAAGTATCTTTAGAGGCTAACTCGGATGTTAACACTACACCAGAGTTTGATTGAGACCTTCTTCAATCCCATGCTTCTGACTCTTTCAAAATGACGTCTCTGCTGACTTCAACTTTTTTTAGTTTCTAGACAATAAAGCTTGTACGCAGTTGTACTATGGTACCCCACCAGTAACATTACTTTGCTTCTGTCATCCAGCTTCTGTCTTCTAGCTTCTGGAACGTGTTTGTAACATACATGACCAAACACCTTCAGATGGCTAACACTTTTCTTGTCTCTAATTCACTTATGAATAGGAACTATGTCTTTCAGCTTTTTTTTGGAAATTTGTTAAGCATATATGTTGCAGTGGCACCAGCTTCTCCCTATAAGGTGTGGGGAAGCTTCTTCTCCTTCAACATACTTCTCATCATATCAAGAAAAGTACCATCTCTTCTCTCAACAAGACCATTGTCTTGAGGAATATAAGGATTAGTAACCTCGTGCTCAATTATACTCTCCTCACAAAACTTCTGGAATTTTGTAGAGTTATACTCCCCTCCACCATTCGTTCTAAGAATTTTCAACTTTTGACCAATTTGTTTCTCAGCCTTCACGTTGAACTTCTGGGACTCAGTAAACACCTCATGCTTAAACTTTATGAGTGCTACCCACATCATTCTTGTGAACTCGTCTACAAAAGACACAAAATACTTGTTTCCTCCAAGTGAAGGTTCTGGAACTGGTCCACACACGTCAATATGCATTACTCCCAAAGCATGCTTTGCTCTTGTGGCTACTTCTGACACAAAATGAAATCTGGTTTGCTTGCCTTTCATGCATACCTTACATGACTTCTCAGGCTTCACAATCTTCGGAATGCCAGACACGAGCTTCTTAGAACTCAGATTCCCTAAACCTTTGTAGTTCATATACTCAAACCTCTTGTGCAACAACTTACTATCACCTTCAGTGCCTTCTGCACTAAGGCACTTTGTTTCAACTGTCTCCACATTCACCTTGAATTTTCTGTTGCTTCCCTACTCAGACTGTATAATCAGCTTCTGATTGGAATTATAACACCCTAATTCTACCCGACAATTATAAATGTAAATCAGAGTTAAAATCATTCATGCAAACGAATCAGGATGTCACAAATTCATCTTTAAAAACACATTGCATTCATCGAGGATACATAACACTTTAAAACTCCGGATGAACCGTCAACATAATACTTTAAATCTCTTAATTCAACAATTTAAACATCTACGCAGCGGAATTCTTAATAACATCTTTATCCATCGTTACAGCAACTTCAAAACAACACATACTTAATAACAACCAAATTAAAGTTCAACAACTGAAATAATCGACAATTAAAAGCAACAAGCGTTCATCCCCCCGAGTGTTACATATCAGAGCAATGACACCGACTCGAACTACTGAAGGTATACAACCTTCACTCTCGATTACCTGCACGTTACCAACGTAAGGGTAACATTCAAACAGAAGGGGTGAGATATCTAACAATATAATAAAACGTATGATAATTAATATATTAAATTAGATCACATAACATCACCACATCTCATCTTATAATCAACAATAATCGCAACAGAAATACCAACAATATACACATTCATCACATCAATTCACAACTTCTTTATGCAATCATATAATGCGACTCAACACTATGCAAATACATGTGGTACCATTGGAGCAGAACTCCCATCTTAAAAATCTGCCAATAAATAGAGGCATCAACAAGGCATAGCCTTCATCTTAATATTTGCCAATACAGGCCATCTTAACGAGCATAAGCTCCATCTTGAAATGCAATGTATGCAACACAATAATGAATGTAATGACAACACCATAATTAACAACATCTCAACACAAACATCATCGTTGGCCATAAGCCTACATCTTAATAACTGCCAATTATTAGAGGCATCTCAGCATCTTTCATCATCATAATTCATCAAACATCATTTATACATCATAATTCATCAAACATCATATATACATCATATATTCACAACAACCCATCCACAACAATAATACAACAGCAATTCGCCAATCTCGTAACGTTGGCCATAGGCCTACAACATAATATTGCCTATAATAAATTAATCATCTAAGGCTTGATTCTAAATTACCAAACCTCTACATATTACTATTTATGTAATATCACATCATTATCATCATTAATCTTACTGTTACCAACCAAACAATAATCTATAATCATCTCATCCTCATCATTCTTCACAAAAATCAACATCGAGATCAACACGGGAACTAATTCAAATCCTAATTTGGATACTAGGATTATCCTTCCCATTCTTCATTTTAATCCTTAACAATGAATTTCATCACGTTAGCTATTCAACGCTTCGAACGACACCTCAAACGGAGTCCGAAAACTCAAGTTACAGCCTTGGGAAAACGAATCTGTCAAAAACCAGACAACATGGATCGACACGTACTGCCTTGGGTCGACGCGTACTGGACTTAACACACTGCATGTGTCGATGCATACTCTTTTGTATCGACTCATACTGAGTCTGTAACACTGTATGTATCGATACATGCCCTTATGCATCGACTCATCCTGAGTCTAAAAGCCCTCATGTAACGATGCAGGACTCCTTCGTATCAACCCATCCTGAGTCTACAATCCTTCTTGTATCGATACATAACATTTAAGGTCGACACATACTGCTCTGTCATGAATATTTTTTGCGATTTCACTGTGTTTTCACTACGGTTTCCATACTTTAGGCCCTAAAAACATCTTCTAATCATAGATAATCATCAATTATACTTATCCTATAATTCTACATCAAATATACAGCATTGGGACATTATTATTCATCCATAACTCATTGATTTCCACCATACAACTTCATATATAATTTAATCATAAACCTTGAGGTTGGAATTAATTATTGCATCCCTCGTATTTGGCATATGTATTTGGCATATGTATTTGGCATATGTATGAATTATTTCATCCATCCCTTGAAATCCTAAAGGCTTTTGTATGAACATTGCATTCATCTAACATGACCTTGAGGTTGTTGATAGTGTTGATTCAGATCACTTTATTGTCCCTATACATTACAGAAAATGTCAAAAATTGAGAGTAAATATGGTGACAGAGGAAGTATATATAGTTATATGATTATAAAAACTTGAATCACTTCATTATGTTATCAACTTCATTGTCGGTATCATAAAATATATAGTTGAGCGTATTGGGGGAGGTTATCCTAATTCTGGTAGTAGAGTACTAATTTAATGACAAGTTTGACCGTGCAGTCTCAAAGTAGGTGGGCCTCTTGTTTTTGAGTATGTCGTGTCTAATTTCATTCCCGGAGACATGAAAGAAAACATCGTGTTGTATGTTCGAATGTTGTTCTGGTAGTTTTTACTCTCTGGGCATGTTTCATTATAGAGCAGATGTTGCAACACCGACAGCGGTTCCTGAAGAAAGGGTAATACAACTTTTCCACCGCGGCAGCAATGGTGTAACTTTGGATTAATTGGTGTTTTTGGTTTTCCAGTGCGTTCGTCATACCACATACATTATTGACAACTTTCACATTCCCATGTTCTGACTCCTATGTCAGAATAGTCTGAAAAAGCATAACAAAAGTATGGAATGAAACTGTTTAATTCTTATGTTGGGTTCAAAGTTGAACATCAATGGTGTTCTAAAATAGAGGTGTTGAGGTGCTTTACTAAAACAACTATAATGAAGAGTTATTTGATGAAGAATCAAGTAACCATATAACTATTGAAGTACAATAATTATATGAGTTGCCAACTTAAATTGTAATATGTAACCTACCTTGTAAATGAGAATATACTAATGGTTCATACTCCATTTCAAACTCCACATTCGAACTATCGGTCAAGCTCATACCGTCACTGGAATTGGAGATTGCATCGACTGACCGATGAGATTCAGGTGGTATATCATGTGCTATTTGGTGATGAGAAGCTGAAGTGCTTAAGGCAGAAGCATGATTTACAGTATGATTTGTTCAAACTACCTCACTGATACTTTGGAGCAATGTTTCTGTATTTCCAAATAATGGAAAATTGTTGGAAATAGGATGTTTGTGGAGACTTATACCTGATGTCTCAATGTGTGTCATATTAGATGGAATTGATGTAATTGATTTCTTCCGGGAACAAGTGGGCGAAACTTGGGAGGAATTTCATAGATTGGACTAGTACCTGTTGAAGTTGAGTCGTTTGTCATATTACGTGACATTTTCCTGTTATCCAAAATTAGTTTCCTCCTCTTTATATCAATAGTTGAATTAGAAAGATTTCTTAAATGTTCATATGCAGCAGAAAAAGAAGTTGGTGCATTCGATGTAATCTTTGAAAAAGAAGGTGGTACATATGATGGACATTTAGTTGTTGAATTCAAACGATGACGGGAATTTATGCACGCTTTTAAAATGACTTTCCTCCTATGTATGGCATGGATGATTGAGCGGGATTGGTTGGAACATAATCTGGTAGCATGGCTTCAGGACAAAGTAATGTACAGAATAAGTGGTTAAGAGATGTTGGTATTTGTAAAGAAATGAAAGATAGCACTGATAAAACAACATACAATGTGTTATAGAATACCGTGCATACAAAACTCTGTAGAAAATATAGAACAACACAGGATTGCAGTTTCAGAATAAGGAGGCAATGAATGTTTCAAAATGATATCACCGTATAAACTCCATGTAATGTTGGTACTGGCTGTTGTATTGTGAAAATTAGGAATATAAGTATAATATAACTGAACTGGTATCAAAATCCAAAAGGTTGGAAGTTATGAATTTTAGTGGATAAGGTGGTTATTAAAATTTTATAATTGTATTAATAAGTGTACTAGTGTGTGCAGTATTTCATATGAGTGGCAATACATTACTGCATATGTATATATAATAAAAATTGGATAATGATGTTGTGTTATTCAACTTGACTTACATCTTTAGAAAAAATAGATTTGATAGTACCTACATATACCATTTTATTAATTTTGTTGTTCGGTCAAAGGAGATGGCATATGTGATTAACATCATAGGAGATGGTCAATAGAGTTATTGTAATTGGAGGTGTATGCAGATTGATTTGTATATGGAGGTGTATACCACTTTTTTCATTGAATAAAAATATATTCCATCGCAATGATACGTTGAATCACAATTCACACGTTACTGTCACATGTAACCACAGGTCTATGACATTACCTGTAATAAGATTTCCTATTCTATCAACAACAAAGACAGCTGACAAATGTGATTGAATTTAAATGTATACCGTTTACGATGGATTTGTTTCCCTATCAATATTAGTCATTGTAGTTGCAGATGATATATAAAACTCAGTCAAAGATACCAACGCCAAAAAAGAAACATAATCTAATTTGTTTGTTTTTCATATACAACAGCATGTAACACTGATAATTATAGCGCAGGTCCATGACATTATTTTCAACGAGATGGCCTAATGTACTTACAACTACGATAAATCACAAATTTCGTCCATACAATTTACATGAATATTAGAGTAACATAATTATCCAAAATTTTGCCGTACGACTCCAAATAGTGTAAGGGTTTTCCGATAGATACAAATCTTCACAAGCGTCTTGGATGAGAACCGTCCTGATTTGGCAGGGAAAACCTATAACAGAATCTGAGTTTAGTTACTTGCCAGTAATGCAGATGTTGGAAGTGTTGTGCAAATGCTGCTAATTTCCTTAAGCCTTTTTGAAGAGGGTTCTTTGCATATGTTGGCACAAAGCCATGTCTGAAACTGACTTTACTGTTATGCAGGAGTATGTAGATTCAAAATAATGGATTAACACCTGCTGCTCCATAGGAGTGATAAAGAGTAATAAATTGATAATATTTTAACGTAAAATCATGTAAACATGATCATTCAAAAGATACACACAGATGGATGAAATTGTATGTTAACATTAAGTTAGCATAACTTAATAGAACACAAGTCTAAATTTACAATTCCAAATCGAAAAGGCAAACAAATATAAAAAGGAAAGAGCGATAATGGTCAACACAAAGTCAAACTAAAACCAACGAAGACACATAACAAAATACATCCACGACTAATCACTCTTCTCTGGCTTGATTGTCTTCTTAAACTTGTTAAAAGAAAGCTCTCCATTACAAAAGCCTTCCGAGGTTGTTGATTCACTTGAACCCCCTGGAAACTCTCTCTTACCGATAAACGTCATTGGATCCGGGTTATGCTTAGAGGTGATCTCGAGATCCTGTTACATAATGAATGAGACAAAAGGTTTTATTTTATACCATTTAGACAACATAAACTTATGCAGAAACTAGGAGGGAGTCATAGATTACCGTTTCCTTTACATATTCTTCAGGCGCACCCGTCTTCGCCTCATCCACACTCTCTTTAATTTAAGCATAATATAACAGTAATCATTATATGTAATATAACCATATAACAACAACTATAATAAAACAAACGAGCAACCAAAAACTGCAATAGGGTAAATACCTGCAGAGGATCAAATGTTATGAAGGGGACCAGAACAACTTCCTTTTTGTGGCAAACAAAGTATCATCAGAAAAAACATATAATACCCAAATAAACAAACAACCTAAAATACCAAAACCCCGCTAAGAAGATTATACCTCGTCTATGTCCCATGGAGCCTTAAGCTTCCTGATAAAAGGCTCATTCCTAAGGATCCTCATGACAGAGCAGTTGTTCCAATGCAGCTGCCACTTTACCTTAAATGCCATCTCCAAGTTCAGCAACTGATCAAGTGCCAATGGGGATTCCAATGGATCATCAATTCCAGCCTATATAACAAACCTCAACAATGAATACTAGTACATTAAAAAAATGCATATACTAAGGGGTGGGGAATAAGACACTAAATCTTGATCATAATATGACGTAGTTGGGCAGCAGATAAACCCAGAAGAAACTCACATTCTCTATTCTAAAACACAAAGTTACAACTGTTGCTCCCATGGAAAACCTGAATCTCTATCTTATACCTACAATGTCATGATTAACAGATATAAGAAATATGATGACATAAATACATAAAAATAGCTTTCACATCCACTATATACATTAAAGGATAAGTAATAAGACCTAAAGATTTCAGCCTCAGTTGAATGACTAGCATCACTGTCAAATGGAGCAGTGTCCCCACGTGCAATGCAAGGACACAAATGGCAGGCACGGTAACACCATCTAAACGGAGATGCCACCAGAATCCTTATTTTAGCAACAATGGTGCAAAATATGATCTGCATCAAAAGTTCATGACATGAATCTCAAATGACGAAAAAGAGGTGACCAACACAAATGAATAAACTATAACAACAACAACCAAATTGTATCATACATCACGGGGTTTGATTATTTCACCAAGAGGCAAAACAACAACACTTGAGAGTAACCTCTGAGCAGGACTAAGTTGTGTTTTTTTAGAATTCTGCGATGAGAGTTGTGAACCTGAACCATTTGTTCGGAGACTAACGATAGAGTCCTTAGGCATGCTGCATGAATAAATGAATTAAATTTTTTTTCACACAACAACATGAGAAATCCAACATATCAATGGATACCATCGATTTGATACAGAGAATATACCAGTCTATGAAATCTTTGATCGGAGGAAAACCAGCATCGAGACAAAGCAACGTGACATTGTAGGTGTTTGTGAACGACAACGGAAACTTCCCTACATCAACAAAAACAGGACGTAAGTCTGAGTGGCCAAAAATAAGTAGTTTCATAATAACAGAATAAACCAACCAACCCTCTTATTTGACTTTTGCATACTGCAGCAACAACACAGTTGGACCAGAGATATTGCCACAATCCTGTGTGAATTTGATAAACTGGTCGACATATGATTCCCAAAGAGTACAATTCAGAGTGTTGTTGCTAAATAATGAATACACAACAGTCGATTAACAAAAGAAATTTAAGATGCACTTCATATGATATATGATATAACAACAACAATGAAAGCTTTAGATTACATACTTGTGGTCCCTTAACATCATATTAATCTGCTATTTTTTTGAACCTGACTGCTTCTGTGAATACCCAATACCCTCAATCATTGCAATTACATCTGACAAAAAACAAAAAATACATTTGCATAAGAGAAAAAAAATATATTGAATTCAAATGTGCGACCAAAAGATCAATAAAAAAGTTACATTTTTTTACCTATCAGCACATCCTTGTTATAATTGCCGCTGATTATATCGGAAAAACCAGTAAACACCAACAGTTTCGCAGGTATGTCATGTTTGTTATTATCCCCAACAGACGCACCTCTCGTAATCTGAGCATAAATTTATGTGCCGAAGATCTAAAAGCCGACACATTCAGATGAGCCTTAAAGTTTGCCATAATATAAGTATGGCCCAACAACAGTTTTTCATTAAAAATAGACTTATGTGCTGTCAGGACAACAACATGTATATCATCGCCCTGCAATGCACACAAAAATAATAGAATTACAGAAAACCAACCAGATACTACACAATGCATAGAAAATCCATAATAACAACAGAATATGCCACAAAAATTCTATAAAAAACAGAATAGAGAAAAACCACCATGAAGATGATCCAGACGCTGAGAAAACAGATTTTACCGCTTTGTCCACAAAAATCATTTCAAAATGCTCTTTGTTATGAATTATCACATTCCACTTATGATGAACCCTGATTGAAACCTTCCATAATTCTTTACCGCCATTAATGTCGCATATTCTTTCAACAGGCTTTGCCATGTTAAACCGATAGGAGGGAGAAGATGCAAAATTTGAGGCAGGTGAAGTTGTAACAGAAGCTGAGAGTATGGAAGGTTATAAAGAATTATAGCCATGATGATTTTGGGACGGTTGAGGAAGTAGTGGAATGGACATGCATTTGAAATAAATAAATTGATTATGGAAACAATTACAAAACTGATAATGAATAGGGGAGGTTGGAGACGCAGAGTAAAAGAAAGTGGAGATGGGAGGTTACACGAGGAAATTGTAAAAGAATTTAACAAATTGAGACAAATGAAATTGGAACCCCAAATATGTTATCCACATATTGTGATTTTAGAACAAAATGACAAAATATAATTTTTGGATAGATTCACATTTTTTTTTAATATTATAGATTATTAATCTTGAAATCTTTAATTTCTTTTAAAATATTTAATTCTCTCCATTGAATCCTCTCGTGTTATATATGTTGATTTACAGAATATTCAATTAAAACATAACATTTATCCTATCTCTTTTAATGTTACCTTCTAAATGATATAATAAAAAATAGATTAATTGTTATACTATGTTATTATGAAAAAAATTATATTGTTAATCTATCAGAATTATTCGTTTGTATTATATAAATAAAAAAATAAAAGTTAAATATTTTCAAACATTTAACATTTATGAATAATTAATTATGAATATTAGTGCATATTAATTAAATTTAATAAAAAAATTATTTTTTAATCAAAAAAATAAATTCAATAAAAAAAGTAAAACTTACATTTAAATCTTTTATTAATTAATAAAGTTTTAGTTATAAACTTTCATTAATTCAACTCAATTTTAGGAACTAGGTATGGTAAATAAATTCGTCTCCGTTGGACTCCAGCCACCCCTATCCAAAATTAGTAGGAAAAATCCAGTTTTTATTTATGCGTACGGGTACGGAAACGGGTGATGTTAGTATTTGTCCTGCACTTGTCCCGCACCCGCCAATTAAATTTAATTTATTTTTAATAGTTTTATTAGTCATTTACACTTTTAAATGTTATAATATCATATTTATTAGAAGTATTATTTATTTTTTTTGAAAATATAATTCAAATAAAAATATCAAACATAAAAAATGCTGTTAAAATAATTAATTATATAGTTTAATTATTGATGTTTATTTTTATTTTAAAAATATATATTTTTTTTAAAATTTTATATTTTATTCGGACGGGTGTAAAGCGTTTGTGGAAAAACCTGTTTCTTATTGGGAACGGAGGCGGGGGAACAAATATTAGTCTCGATTGAATTTGGGATCGGGGGCAGATCTAGATCTGAGTGTCAGTGTGGGTCTGGATGTGCTTAAACCCGCCCCCGACCCGCTCTGTTGCCGTCTCTACTAGGAACGAGTTTAAAAATAGTATCTATATAAAATAATTTTATATATATAATCAATTAAAATTTATATATTTACTATGTTATTTCAGTATTTTGAAAATAAAAATAAAATTTATTGTAATACATATTTTTTATTAATTAGTATTATAAAATATTTTACATTAAGTGCATTTGTTTGTTGACAAAAATAAATTCTGGGCAATAGGTTACTGCATTGAAAAAAACAAAAAAGTTAGAGTTAAAAACAAATAATCCCGGTAGAAAAAAAAAAAAAGAATTACATAAAGTTGAACCCAGTTCCGAATGAAGCGAGTGATGATAGTAGAAGGATAAGGTAGCGATAGATAAAGAAAACGTTTGGGTTTTGCAACAATGTTATCTTCTTCGCTCTCATTCCTTCACTCTTTCACTTTCCCCTCTTGTTCTTCGTTCACAATTCCATCTCCAAATCCCAATTCTCCGTCTTCTCTTTCCTTTGTGGTTGAAGTCAAATCAAGTTCCCGAAGGGAAGACAGAACTGCTCGCCATGTTCGTATCCGCAAGAAGGTAACTAACTCTAATTCTTGTTCTTTTCAGACCTAAGTTATCTTCTTTGCCGATGGTTATTACCTTTTATACATTTTGTTTCATGCCTTTTGATTCTTATGTATTTGTACTCTTTTCTGACACTAAATCTTTGAATTAGGGTCTGATAAACATCATTTTGAACTGTTTTGTGGAAAACTTAGTCTTAGAAGTAGGTGTGTCATGGTGTCTGTATGTATGACACTCATATGATAAAGTTTTCTCTTCCGTTTCCTGTTTGTTCATCGCTGGGATGATCTCAGTTAAATTGGAAATCTGTTATGGGAATAATGTAGTGCGATTCTATTTTGCAATCGTTTTTTTTTTTTGACATTTTAGGTTGAAGGAACAACCGAACGACCAAGATTGTCTGTCTTCCGATCCAACAAGCACCTCTTTGTCCAGGTGATTGATGACACCAAGATGCATACACTTGCTTCAGCTTCCACAATGCAGAAGAAACTTGCTGAAGAGTTCAACTACACCTCTGGCCCTACAATTGTAAGTTTCTAAGACGCTGTTACGGTTCGCTGTTACAATAAGTTCAACCAAGCAAATCATCTTCAAAAAGCTACTCAATATTTGCATAGAACAGTTTCATATTCACTTAAGACCTTTCTTTCATTATTAAACTTTAGAAATTTCTAATTGAACATAGATTTAAAGACATTTCTACGTTTTTGTTTAGTTAATGATGATCCTTGTTCATTCAAATTGTCTGGTTTCAGGAAGTAGCAAAGAGGGTGGGTGAGATCATTGCGAGATCCTGTCTGGCGAAGGGAATCACAAAAGTTGTCTTTGATCGTGGTGGTTACCCGTACCATGGCCGTGTTAAAGCAATCGCTGATTCGGCTCGCGAACATGGCCTGGACTTCTAAAATGCGCACTCTCTTTGTATTTCATGTTTAAATTGGAAAAACAATTTTTTTTTAATGCCATTTCCTCGCTTCCAAGTGACTTTTTTATGGCTCAACATCTTCTATTTTATATCTATCCATTTTTTATATGCTTAGACGTGTGCACTAGTTGTAATCAAGGTAGCCAAAATCTCGATCTAAATTTTAAAATTTTACTACGATTTTGCTATCCCACTCACCCAAACCATTCAAATCTTAAGTAGAATTGTATGTTGTTCTGCCAAATGTAGCGGCGCAACAATTATCATTTTACAAAAGATACATTTGCATTTTAGTATCATCTTATGATTTTTGTTACCATCTTTTATTTTACGATCTTACTATCTCCCCTCGATCTTACAAAAATGATTAAGTAGGATCTTCCGATCATAATTACGATCTTATGTTTTATGATCTTGACAACCTTAGTTGCAATAATATCAATCGGAGCTTGTGTACTATAGAAGTGTGCCAAAATCTTAAATGAATTGTATGGGAATGATTGGTTGGTTATTTAAGTGACTTGGTCATTCTTCATCTTCTTATTAGATATCTATATAGCTTAAATCGAAAGAAAAAAACAGGCAGGAAAAAGATTGAAGATGTCATAAAAGTATATTAATTAGCTGTCTACAAACAGTCAAATACAAGAAAAACAATTTAAAATGTGTGATCTAAGCAGAAAGCATTCTTTCTAGACATGACCAGAGAGATGCAACATCCAAGTCACACTTCTTACACTTTCAGGTTCACAGTGATTTCTTCAGAACATGAAAAATAACAGTTACATTAGTTTATATAGTAGTTCTACATGCATACAGACAGAACACACCAACCAACACTAGAACTTTACTCAAGAGGCAGATATAGTTGGCTGAAATTCTTCATTTGGCCCCTTCAATGAAACCGAATCCGGCGAATTCTCAGAGCAGAAGTTGTTCTCTATGTTGTCAGCCATCTTTGTTTTTGGTGAAGACGGATAAGGTGCTTTACTACCCAACCTGTAATAAACAAACATGATGTAAATATGAAAACGAGTACTACATAACAATCATACAAAAAATTTGAAACTCAAGAGGTAGATAATACCTGTCTCGCCGCTTCTCAAGAAACCTTTGAAGTGAATGTCTGCGTGCTATTGGAAATTCTGACGAGAAATATCAAGAAAAAACACGGACATGAGTTTCCGTTACATTAAAGGTCTATTTGGTTCAAACAAGTTTCTGAATACCTGAAGACGTAATCAGTTAAAAGATTATAATCTAATTCTAGAATAATAATGAGGAAATTCACACCTTGCAGCCTGCAGACAGAACTCTTCTTTGCAGGGAAGCAGAGTGCCTGCGATGAAGCGATATTATCAGTGGCGGCATGTGGAGAAGAGGGCCTTGAGGGAACAGGTGAAGGAACAGGAGATTGTTTCACGATATTCTTCGTTTCCGTAGACTTGGCAGCAGCAGCAGCCATGAGCATTATTTCTTGCATCTGTTAGTAAATTAGAGAAAGTCAAAATATGATTTTGATTGTAAGTAATCATCTCAACATGCAGCATAGGGCTACCTTTTCTGCTGGAATTCCATTATAGATACAAATGCTCCCGTTATAGAAGATGGTAAGCTGATTTGTATTAGGAAATGCCTCGCTCATTCTCGATGCTGCTATCGACCTAAAAGAGCGAATAATGATAAACTTGATAGATAAAATAAAATACAAAACATAAAATAATGCAACGTGGCTGTGATTGAGGCTACATCGATCACATTTGACCTTGTTTCTCCACAATATGCATGTAGAAGGCTCACAGTCCCTCTATAACATATGTGAGAGAATAAGCCATTACAGGGGATCATCATCAGAAACTTTTGTCTTTCTTCAATTTGGTTACACGGAACTTTCGTCCACTTATGCCTAAAACGTCTTTCTGTGTTAAATATGTCCAAATAAGAAAGGCAAAGTATGCCGTCCTTGACAAACATTGTAATGAGCGGGAGACTACCAATGATTTCATACATAACAGAACACGGAGGTCTGTTGACATACACATCTTTAGAAGAACAGACACGTCAACATCTTTAGAAGAATAGACACCAGACACAATACTAGACACCAGACACAACACTAATATCTATAACAATCTTAAAATGCGAAAATCTTTGAACATAATCACATGTATTTTGGTCTGTATATGACCCTCAGATAAACATGTGTCGAACACCCCGTCTTCAACTCCACGGCATGTTCCACATAGTAGGATACTACAATCATCCTAACTAACAAGTTCCCTCAACTCATTAGAACAATTATATTCGCAGTTATATCACACAAATTGAAACAATTTAAGGCACAACAATTGTGTCTTGGGCCAAGTCCATATAGAGTTCAATTCGCAAGGCTGAATACCAAAAATTTCAAAAACAAATAACTAAAACTCATTATAACAATTTCAATTCAGAGAATAAGGGTTACACAATTATATTTGCAGTTATATCACACAATTTGAAAAGAAACACCATAGTTTATTGATCATCCATACATTTTTGTCCCTCAAAATAATTGCAAACTAAAAAACAGAAACAAAAATAAAAGAGTAAAGTAAGCCACATAAAAGATCAATAACCAAAGACATGATTTTTATGTTAAAAACATCAAAAACTCACTTGTTTGCTGAGAAATTCATCATTGACCCATCATCCATGTTAGAACTAACACCATCAACAGCGACAACAGGAGAAGATTCAAGAACCATAAACTCCTCAGGCTCAACCTTGACATTAACACAATCCATTTCTTGAAGAACCCAACAAATAGATCACCAAAATTCAGAGAAGACAAGACTTAAAGGGAAGAGTTTTGACCACAAATTGTGCAAAGTTATTCAATTTCAATGGTTTTAGAAAGGTGGTTTGATTCCTTTTGGAATATTGTAATGGCCAGCTATGTTTATTTGTGGTTACTTTAAAGCAACATGTGTTTATTGTGCTTTCTATATTGGTCTATTTGTTTATGTTCCTTGTATGTTTCTTGGTTTCAATCCTGTCTGTTTCTAACTACAATACTATTATTTTGATGAAAATAAGATATAAAAGAGTTATAACTATGTGCTTACATTGAACTTTCGAAACGCGTCCTAGTTTGTTGTTACTTCATTTGTTTTCCTTTTTTTTCTTCTTCTTCTTTTTCTAAAGCAGATTTTGTTTTATTAATTATAATTTGATTCTCTATTTTAACTTATTTATATAATTAGTCTTTTATTTTAAATTTATTTTATAATTTTGTATTTACAATTTAATGATGTATTTATATTTTAATTACATGTTATTTGTAAAACTTGATAGAACAATAATATAAATAAAAATATCGATAAAAAAGAGCGCATCATCTATAACAAAAGATAAAAATAACAAAAAAAGCTTACCTATAAGAAAAAGGAAAAACAAAAAATGCAAGAATAAATTTCAACTATTCATTATCACCACTAGTTACTATCACACGATTTTTATTAAAAAGAAAATTAAATTTATAATAAATTAAAAATTATCCTCTAAAATAATGACACGTGTACATTTTTGACTTTCTTCTTCAAATTGTTTCTTAATAAATAGCACTACTCAAAAAAATATTTGAATTTAGAATAAAGAGATTAATTTCATAATTGAAATAGAATAGAAGATCAAAATTGTTATTAAGTTTAGTTTTTAAGCATTTGACATCTGGCTCAGAATCAATGTTAATCACTTTCTAAGCATTTGACTTCGACGTCTTTATTTTAATAATGTTGGGTTTTGGCAGAAGAGTGGAGTTTGATGGTTTCGACGCTGTCTTCTTTTTCTTCACAGGTCTGGAGGTGTCTGGCAACAGATCTTCGATATCTGTTTCTGTTGTTTGAGGTTGTGGATTGGTTGGCTTTCGTTTTTTGGGAGTTGGTGGAGGTTTTCGACTAACCTGAAAATAACAAAGATATTAGCAAATATATATTATACATGGAATGAAATGTTAAAGTATGAATTATACCTTTGTTGTTGCCTTTGTGAGAATTATCTCTTCGTCTTAACCGTCATTTTTGGCCAAAGTAGCAGCTTTCTTCGTCGCAGCTTCCCCAGTAGTGGCAGCCTTCTCTTTTATTTGTTGTTTTCAATCGACAACTAAAAAGAGTGGACATACCGAAAATTTCAAAATTAGAAGGATATTTAAAAAGTTTGGAGAAGAGTAAGTTGAAAAGTCCTCTCACTCCGCACCTTCATGTATTGAAGAAAGTATGCGGACATGCTCTATGTCGACATGAAGGTGACATTTAAAATTGTCTAGAGTATGCTTAGTCGGAACCACCCGTTTGGTAAGTTTTGGGAATCTTGTTGAAAGAGTTTTAAGTGAGACCCACAGACGGACCATTATGGGAATGAAGGTCGAAATGTCATTCCAAAATCAACATTTGGCAGTGGTGAGAACTTTAGTGGTTGAAGTTTAAAAGCTAACGCATACTTGTCTTCGTGCTTGACATATGAAGGGATTTTTAACTCATGGAGTTTCTTTGTAAATTTCTCTTTTAAACAAATGTTGCTTCACGGATGGTTCGACTAAGGTCATCAGGTCTGTATGTAGTTTCAAACTATTTTTGGAATGCTTGAATTTCCTTGATGTGAGTTATCGTACTTTTCTTAAACCTTTCCTATATGGAAGCAAAAGAAGTTGTTAGATGCCAAGTAAAGTCAGGAACATCGAAGATCTCTGTTGTGTAATATTTCCTCCACCATGTATCAAACTCTTAAGTGCAATAAAATGATGATCGAAAAGAGACGAGAGTATGTTTAGTAGTTTTGGCGTATCAGGACATTTGTTTGTTACATTCATCTTCAGAGAAATACATGTTGTAAAGGCAGAGAGAACCTTTCTTGTTGTAAAGTGGCTTGGACATTGATTGTTTAAGGTCAAATTACCGAGAAACAAGGTTAGGCTGATAATTGAGCAAGATGATATGGTTTTTC